CTTGAGAGGTCAGGATTTTTAGGGGCGCTAGTTCTTTCTGTGGTGAATATTCTATTCTCACATTTGTAAGTTGAATATTGACTGGTAATTTTTGAGTGATATGGAGTTGCCGGTCCTTTGAGTCCGCGTTTGACCTTGAACAGAGGCATTGAGAGGTGAGTACTTTTTGACGGACGCTAGATTTTTCTGTGGTGAATATTCTGACATTTGGAAGGCCACTCGTTATGTCTTTGACGCCCCCCCCCCCCCCCCCCCATTCAAAATATGGATACGCCGCTCCTGTTCCCAGTTATCGTAACGATAGTTATATTGCGCATGCTTAACACGCGCTCGGGTGGGGGTCAAATGTCCCCCCCCTCCAAAGGTTTTTGCAGAATGGTTTCCGAACGGCGCAGCATATCCGCGTAAACCTTTGCATAGCTGGAGAAAATTTAATAGCGGATCGTGTAAGGAAAAAATTAGATGTTCCTTGAAAGGTCCCTGACCTACGGCAGGTCAAAGTCACGCCATGGTACAGCTAACGCAATATCAAGGGAATCTTTCAGTCTGATACAACAACGGAGTGTTTGACGAAGCCATACATCTCTGAGATGCTTTTTTAGGCACCAAAAATATTGAATGAGCATATCACGTTGACCTAAGGTCAGGTCAAGTACGTTGCCCTAGGTCAACTCCAACGTCATTTATTACTTTAGGGCTTGCAGTATGGGATAGTTTCTGGTGCTCTGTTCGAATTTGTTGACGTCAGGAACCGCGTTATAGACCTTTCACTGACTTCTTAGAGGTCAGAGCAGGTGATGAACCTAAGATGACCCGGGTCCGACATTTTGTTTTAGGAACATGCGCCTTAGCGTGATCTTTGTGGCTTATCTAATTGCAAAACTCAGAGCAGTCTTGTAGGATTTCGGTCAACATGACCTTGAAAACGTCAAACAAGGCCACTGATCTCAAATGACCTTGTGGCCTTTTGCTTAGAGACAGTTGCCTAGGTTCTGGGGCACCTTGGAGACCAACCTGAAAAATTACCTTGCTTGACCTTATTTGACCTGAAGTTAATCACCTAGCAACCTCAAACTTTGATATAAGGGGCTTCACGCCCAGGTCAGCACACTCGGTAAATTTGGTGTCTCTAGCTTTCTTACTTCCCGAGATCTCAAGGGGATCAAATTCACCCCCCACCCGAGCGAAGGGTATCTAGGAGGCCACCCGGGCGCGTGTTAACTGTGGAAACTCAACGAATCATTTTGCACAGAAATGAGCAATTAAAACGTTGACGCTGATCATCTCAAAAGGTGACACGCGTTACCAAACAGCCAAACAACCACTGCTGAAATTTATAGCCGATGCCGCTGCCACGCTAGGGCTCAACACGCCCTGAAATCATTAAACGAGTCGTGTGCAATGTACGGACGGGTGCTCTTGCGACAAGGGTGCAGCTGCAAACATGCTCATGATGTGACATGCACGACGATGAATACGGGCGTGGCAATGCAGAATTTTACTGGCTGGTTATTGCACTGACGTGAAAGGGCTGGTGTGCAGCGTCATTAATCGCCTTAGTTTATCATGGCTCCCTGCTGTCTTCACCACCTTGCGGTTAGCAGAACTGCCAGTAAAAAGCGCTTGTTTGGTATAAAAGATGTATCCGGCCCAGAGGCATCACAAACCAGCCATGAAGTTTCTCGTGCTCGTGAGTCTGCTCCTGTTTTCTGTCTCTGCGACGGTCAACGGCCAGTAGTCAGAGGATCTCCCCGAATGCTATGGCAACTACCCGCGTGTCTGCACCCAGCAGTACCCGCCGCCTCACGAGTGCTTCAGCGACGAAGACTGTTTCAAAGTGTACAAGAGCACCTGCTGCAATGGCCCGTGCCACCACGAGTGTCGCTGACGTGGACTCCCCGGACATTCCAAGATGCCCAGAAGTTCTAAGGAAGTTAACAGACGACGCTGTGACGCGGGTTGGGGTGGATGCCCTCCCGATGTTGCGAGATCGCCATGACGGACGTACCAGCGCGGCCTTCGGCTTGTTCGCCGTCAAGTGCGGTTACATGAGCAAAGCCTCCATGTTGAACAGGGGCGATCGCAAGCTCACGTGATGTAGTTTCGTTCCCCGTCACTTGGCTCTAACTTCGTTTTGAAAATAAATGCTTCTGTCTAACCCGATGTCTGCTTTTTACCCATGAATGCCCAGCGTACTCATGATCCCTGATGAAGTGCGGCATGCTTTCTTTCGCGGTCGTGGCGTCACTTCATCATCAGCGCGGGTCGTGACGTCACTGCATCGCCAGCGCGTTCGTGACGTCACAGTGTCGCCAGCGTGGTCACGAATGCGCACGCCCGTAGTCCCACTCAATCCGCTGTCTGTCCTCGGTTCCCTTTAAGCCACACCTCGCCCCATGCCTCGCTCGGCCGCCGACTGCTAAACACCGCGTTTATTTTTTATTTATTTTATTGGCATATGTCGCACGCACCGCGGAGGTCGGCGTCCCCAGCGGCGAAGGGGTGGCTGGCCGGTCCCGAGGCCCCGTGAGGCCCGCCGGCCACCCACGACCTGCCTTGACAAGCTGCCGCGAATACGGGACGCACACTAGTATTTGAAGCCAAATAGCACAAGCAATCGCGCATACCCACACACACGCCCGCGCCGGTACATTATCTACAGCGTGCCGAGCGGGTCGGGCCTGCCGCAGGGGCGGCGCCGAGATTGGAGAGAGGCCACGCCCGCCCGGCGTCGCGCGCGCACCCGCGTGCAATATAACAACAGACACACGGATACTCAAAGCCCAAAGCGGCTTGCATGATCAGGGCACGCCAAAGTGGCCCTTCTTAGCACAAAGTGTTCACGTTACAGATTTAGCGTCCTTCCAATGACCACCACCATTCAAAAACACGATCCTTCATGAAAAATCACAAAGAAAACGATTTTCCGCACAGTTTCATCAACCATTCAGTGGGCTACCTTTGACTAGACAATGTAGCATTCAGACAGAACGTCTCTTTCGATAGACAAACCAAACGGTAGTGTTTTTGAACTCCAACTGAAGCCGGTGCTCAGTGGGTCGCCTATAAGCCCTGTACCCAAGCAAAGTCCGGGCCGGGGACGCCGCCGTCCGCCAGGACCGACGCCGCCTCCCAGCCAGCAAGAGGCAATTTGCTGGCCAGGCGTCGGGTGGCCGGTCCCAGACGCGCGCGACCGGCGTCGCGCCCCGCCCCACAGCAGTAGCCGTTTCTCATAAACAGAAGGCAACACGGCGTGAGTGTAACAAACAGCACAAGTCCATCCTCTCCGTGGACACATCTCGGTTCGCCGGCGGCAGTCTGTCCAGCGCGCACCAGTGCTGATGGCGAGCCGCCGCCCGCCTAGCGCGCTCGTCGGCGCCGGCCAGGTCGCTCGGCTGCCGCTCAGTCCTCGGTCTCCACCAGCTGGCGACTCTCGGTGCCGTCGGCCTCGGTGGTGATGCACTCCGTCATCGTACGCGTCACCGGTCGGCCCTCGTCATCGAACGTCGTCATCGTGCGGGTCTCGGTGCGGATCATTCTGCCGGAACGGAGAGGCTAGGCCGGCGTCAGCTGCCGCCCCGGCACGGACACAGGTGGCGCAGGCAGACAAGCGCACGGCCACTTGGACACGGACACAGACGGACAGACGCGCGGTCTCTCGGACACGGACACGGAAGACAGGCGCACGGCCACTCGGACACGGACACGGGACAGACATGCGCAAGGCCACTCGGGCACCGACACGGACAGACAGGCGCACGGCTAACTTGACACGGACACGGGACAGGACAGGCGCCAAGGCCCAACTCGGGCACCGACACGAACAGGACAGGCGTAAGGACCACAACCCGGCTTTCGGTCGTGTGTTGTAGGAGACTAGCGGACAGACAGGCGCACGGCCACGCTTCTTTTTCACATTTAAAACCAATTAAGCGTTCTCTGGATTTAATTCCATAAAGTGCGATTCTGAACGTCATTTCAAATGAAAACATCGAATAGCATTGGTCATTAAATGTAAGGTAAAGAGAGCGTAAAAATACCTAACCGGAGGCTATATATCCGGTGTGAGCTATTGTAAGAGCCGTTGTGGCATGGCATTGATAGCGAGTCGCGTGCAACATCAATCCGTTCCAATAACACGTAGAAGGGTCACAGTTGCTGCGGTTCTCGTGGTTCCCTTCTCAGATTCTGACGAGGGCGCGCGCAAATTCGACAGCCACTGTTTGCATATTTTGACGAGGGCGCGCGCAGATTCGACAACCACTGTCTACATATTCTGACGAGGGCGCGCGCAGATTCGACAGCCACTGATTACATATTCTGACGAGAGCGCGCGCAGATTCGACAGCCACTGTTCACATATTCTGACGAGGGCGCGCGCAGATTCGACAGCCACTGCTTACATATTCTGACGAGGGCGCGCGCAGATTCGACAGGCACTGTTTACTTATTTTTCGCATTCCTTGCCTCACGCATCATGAGTAAATGCTATCAAAGAATATCCCCAATGGTATTCTTCACCATACTTATCACAGGCACCACACACTGCTGTTTTCACAATGCTGATCAGAATCATCCAAAAAGCAAACATTATTAATAAGGGATGTGTTTTTACAGCATTAATCGCAGCCCTCCATGAAACATGGAACATTGTGTATGAGTGAAGTAACCTAAAATATAAACTATTTATAATTACGAACACACTACATTTCTTTTGGAACATTTATACCACACATCATTTTGCGCATCTGTTCAGATGTTTTGAGCACAATGCTATTGACGGACTTTTTTATTCATATTTAAGATTCCGGCACAGCCAGCAGCACCTGTTCTCGGATTGCGACGAAAACAAGGACCAGACGAATGCAGCCGGAGGGAGGGCTGAGACTAAGGAGCAGGACTGAGACGCGAAAGAAGGACTCAGAAGCGGGAGGAAGACTGAGGAGGTGGAGCAGGACGACGAATGGGGAGGAGGAGCACTGCGGTCGGAGGATGCTCACCTTCTGAGTGTTGGTCCATGGCCTGAGACTCCCTCTACATACTCTGAAAACATTTGTGGTGACTCCGACGATTGGACGCCTTTGAACATAGCACCAGCGCCACTTGATACACAGTCGTGGCGTGGCACAACTTTCGGCACAGACGGAGTCATAGCTCGGGACTCACGGAAGCCTCCAAGGAGAGCGTGCAATGAGAACAACTTAGATGCAAATTGAAGCGTGACGCCGAACAACACTGGTCAATGAACAAAGCGTTCTTCTCAGAAACAAATGTGGCGAGAATGACAGCAGTGAGAGGATGACACAAACGCTACCAATTCGTAGGGCCAACGTTCCATGCACCACAGCGCCGCCAGGCACGCCGTGCTCCGGCCGGACTCTGCCGGCGTCGTTTGTACAGCAGGCAGGCGTTCAAAGGCGTCAGAGCCGAGCCAGTGTGCTGCGGTGCGACGCCACGAGAGGCGGGCCGGTGCTCCGAGACACGGCCGGCACGGCACGACGGGACTGGCGGCGGCCGGCTGGTCCCCGTGGTGCTGCCACGGCCATGCGCCGGCATAGTTACCACTCGCAGCCAAGCGGAAGAGTTTGTGAGTGAGCGCCAGCAGCGCTGCATGCGGCATACGTCAGAGCTCGTCCCACACGCCATCACGCGTCACCCCACCGACACGCCACCAGCTCATCACACGCAGGCAGAGGGGAGGAGGGAAGGCAGACAGACAGAGAGAGATAGAGCCCGGGCCGAGCCCGGTCCGTCGGACCAGGCTGGCCTGCGCCACCGCACATCTCCCTACTGACCGCGGCGGCCGGCGTGCCACCTGGCGGTGTGGTGGCGAAACAGAGCGGCGCGCGTAGCTGACGGGCCGCGGCGGCCGCAGCCGAGGGGGGGGGGGGGGGCGGGGCCGACACGCCGGCCGATACGGCCCAGTATCGGCGGCAGTCGGCCGGGCCGGCACGGGGCGCGGAATTCTGGAGGGGAGCGGCGCCCGCCCGGCAGGCGGCGCGGCAGGCCGGCGGACTGAAACACGAGACCAAACACTGTCACCGCACGCCGGCCGGGAGACATCCAGCTTCGGGGTGTTCCCCTGGCGCCGTCCACATCCCGCCACCACCATCACCCCCACCCGGCTCCCCTGCGCTACCAAACACGTCAAGACACCAGAGCCATGGGAAGCAGGGAACGCGGTGAACGCTTTACCGTCGGCGCTCGCCACTGGAAATGTATCATAGAAAGCAGCATCGCTTAGCACAAATGCTGGACCTGTGGCTAACACTGCCAGCAGGCATGGACGCAGGACAGCCACCGGATTCAGACTTGTGGCGACACCTGTCGGGCGAGGGCATCAGTTGAAATGCCGCCGCTAGGCTGCGCGGACAGGGAGCGGTGATGGGACGTCGGTAGTCCGGGACCCGGCCTGTCGGGCCGGCAGACCGGGCCCCGGTGATCAGCGATCAGCCCGCGCCCGTGCCGGCGGTCCAGACCCTTGGTCCGGACGGCGCGGCGGGGAGCGGTCTGTCTGCCATCTGGGCGGCGCCCTGAAATGTCGCTCATGCTTCATTTGTGGCATATATAGGTCAGGACTGCCAACGCAGTGTCCCGTTGATTGTTGCTCGACAGGGATCGGATCAGTCGGACACTGACCGGATCTGTCGGGGAGGGATCGGATCTGTCGGACAGAGATCGGATGCCGTCCGAGTTCATTTGAAAGACTCCATTTCCGAATTCCGAGTTCTTTTAAGTGCGCACTTGTCATGCGTTTGTCCTCTCAAAGCTTCGTCTCGTTCGAAAATGAATGCACGCCGCTGCCGTGCGGCACGAGAACGGCCGGCGTATAACGGAAAGCCGGCGACTCCAGCGCGCCCGCCACCGACGTTGAGAGACGGCAGTACGTCTCGTAAACCGGGCTCATGGAGTCCATGGGTCGTGTAGAGATCTCAAGACGCCGATACAGTTCCGAAAAGTGAGCAGGCCTTGTACGCAGCGCCGCCTGAGCTCCTCAAGGTGGAGGGGATGTGGTCGTGACGGAGGGCTCCCGAGACAGGTCCAGCCGAAGCTTGGTCGCCTTGAGCGGAGGGCCGACTTGGCACGTGGCAGATATGCTGTACTGGACGTAAATTCTCCCTCCGGGCCGTATGTGGGGGAAACACTCAGGTGGTAAAAATACTCAATTGATCTGAACGACACATCTTCGGTAATGGGTTAAGGGCTTTCTTCATCAACTCTGTTTGGCAGGCACACCACACTCGTGCGTGCTTTCGGCAACTGGCACAACAACAAGCTGGTAAAACACTGGTGCACAATGACTATGAAAATGCGACAGTGGATGCATTTCGGAATCGAGAACAAAACATTCCGACCACGCCATCCCATTAAAGTTGTCCTTATTCACTATACCTTGGCGATAGTGTTGTCACCTACCGGCGAGGAAATGTGCTGAAAAGCTGAGGGGGTATGGCCTGCTTTCGTGCGCTGTGCTCGAAATGTACTGTGCACTGTATCATCTCGGCTGCGAGATGATATCAGCAGGAATAATTCACAAAGGGCTGTATCGATTCTGCTCACTATTACAGGACGCTAGTAAAGGGGGAACTAAGAAAAACATATGTAAGGGTGACGTTTGGTGAGAATATTGGCGGGTCAGATAGCTTTGAGATCGTTTTTTTCATGCATCACCATAGTCATGTTGTTAAAATTGTAGAATAAATCGCACTCTATACCCCAAGGCATACAAAACCATTAGTATATTACGTACTCGTGCAGAGTTATAGCATACCAAATATATTTTTTTCGACAGACTTACGTTCTACCGGTCTCGAAATGTCCTGGATTGCTTAGCATTTGCATCGAGTCGCCTTCGCTTTTCAGACCCCGTTCTAGGATTGGGCGAAAGCCTGGATACAAGTCTCGAAATGTCCGGCCCTGTTCAAGTCTGAAATGGTTTACTGTGTCGCGAGAAAGAAGAAGACAGCAATAGATCGCGCGGCAAGTGTTTGCAAAGTCAGTTGTTAGGAGAGTCAGTTGTTAGCAGAGTCAGTTGTTGGCATGGTGAGTTGTTAGCAGCGTCAGTTGTTACGAAAGTTAGTTGCCAGCGGAGTCAGGTGATCATTTATGCCCGCTCCATTTTTATGCCACAGCTGCCGAAAGTACAGTAGCGGCTACCACAAATGTAGCTGGCCAGACGCCATGTTCTGATGATAACATTTGATAAACTTGATCGTGGCATTGTGGTCGCAAGAATGTCTTATATAGGGCACACGTTAAGCGGGCTGGTTTCGTGAGCCCTGCCCAGGGCCTCCGGTCGGGAAATTCCAATTCAGCAGCATAATTTGCGGCGAATGTTTTACACGGAACGAAGCTCGGCGCGATCTACTTGGGCCTGGCTTGACGGTATTTTGACGTCCGGAAAGATTTCACCTACATCAGCGCTGAAGATTTGCGGCCAGAAGAGCACGTGGCTATGATAGCCGAGCCCTGTGGTCAATGCATTGCACGCTTCAACGCACAGTCTGACAGGGCCACATGCTTGTTCAGTGAGCTCCAGGCAATGTGCAGCGATTATGGCACAGACGGACTGCTCTTGGACGTGACGGCACCGCGGAGAACACTGGGCGCTCTGGCGGCATCTGTCCGCTGCTTGAACTGGTCAACAAAAAACTGGCCCGCTGGTCCATCTGTCAGCTTTACGCGAACGAACTTAATCTGCGGCAGCTGTTCACGGAGCTCGAGGTCTGACAACAGGACGGTCGTCGTTCGTGGGACCACTTGGCAAAGTGACTGCAGAAGTTTCTTGTCGTCCAGTGCCGTCCTGTCAGTGACAGATTACTTATGGTCACCCTTCCATTGACACCTACCAGCACCTCTGTCGATGCATAAATGTCTGAAATTGTTTGTGCACCTACGGTAGCGTGCCATGCACCTTGCAGGTGACCCATCCTCCACGCACGATCGCTGCGGACATACGTGACGGTAAAAGAGCCAAGCGCCCAGGTTCGGGGCTTAGCTAAGTGTTTGTGCACCAGTACTTTTTGCGGTGACTCCACGGCAGGCAAAACGGTGCATACATTTGTGGGTGAATGAACACATCCAGTCTCTAAAGCTCCTGATCTTCATTATCCTAGGATTGCTGACTTTGTGTGTAAGGCAACACGCTATGAGAGAGAGTTTTCACACCTTTTCCTCACATTTTATATGCATTTTGCACTCCTACCTGATGCTATTTAACCATACACACTAAACCCATATTTCCCTTTCAGAGGTTTGAAGATGTCATTTTGTTCGGGTTCATTTGAAACCACCAAACATGAATAAAGCTCCACAGTATTTGAACACCTCTGGCTATATCCTGCCTCTCCTGCATCTGAATCATGCCTATGTTTGCACAGAGTAGGGACATTAAGTCCGAAAGCCCCAGTCATTTCAGCCGCCTGCACTTATCAATTGTTGTTTGTTTGCAAAATGCATCACAACGTGCAGCTGCGTCCCAAACACACGGCTTTCGCGCACCCCCAGTTTTTTGGACACACCACGCAAGCACCACACAAGGAAAGGAACTCCTGGTCCAAACAACAGCAAAGCGTGGTAGAGAATGCTTCTCTATGTATTTCTTTTTTCGAAGAAACTTGACCACTGACTTGTATCACTCTCGAAATGTAGGATTGAAAATTCTAGAACTCCCTTTTTGATGAAATTAAAAGTTAAATGTTACCTTTCAGCTGTCATTTTTACCGATTTCGTGCGAGGTTACTTGTTTAAAAAATGCTACGATAAAACTTATTTTAGATGAAAACCTTGAGACTTTATGGTTATTCAATTACGCTTGTTTTTCTTTGTCTCATACATACGTGATACAAATTCATTGTTCCTTCTTTTCTAACAGTTTTTGTGATGCCATCAATGGTCTTAATTGTTACCCAATATATCTGCGAAATTCCCCAACTGCAATATCTTATACAGATGTATTGGGTCATTTCGCCACCCTCCCCTAGCATATTTGGTGTGCATCCAGGTGTTGTCAGTTCATAGATGGATATGATGTCAGTTCATAGATGGATATAACATGTCAGTTCATAGATGGACATGATATGTCAGTTCATATATGGATATGATGTGTCAGTTCATAGACGGAATGAAGGATGCAATATACAGCAAGGAAATAATTTATGTAATTTTTGGCTGCATATGCTTTCCGTCATATAACTGCGTTCGTAATTCAGCCAGATATTACGGAGGCCAGAGCACCTTAACAAGAAGCAAATAGTTGCACAACTGTTGTCACCTTCACCGAGACATGGATCAGGGAAAATTTCTCGAGTGTACACAATGCATCTAAGGATTATACGTCACAAGGCACTTGGGCTATCATCATTCTTGATAGGTAAACACTTTCCATATTGGCAACGGCCTACCATGGGGTTTAAGTTAGCTAACAGAGACGCGCATACTGCATCTAATTTTATATAACAGAACACATTGACAAGACCTATGATGTTCTTTATGTTAGATCGGTACTAGACTAATTATTGGCGCTAAATCTGATACATGACAACGCCACAATTCCGTTGAGTGGCGAAATACGTTTACAAGTATATGCATATAACACCGCTCGCTGCAGAGTGGATTGTTGTGAGTGCTCCAATCGTTCAGGCTTGTGTGATAAACACCAAGGTAATGTGAAAATGTGTGGAGGCGTTTTCCTCTTGTTTCATTATGCTGTTTTGTAGAAAAATATTCAGTTTGCTTTAGTTCAAAGGACCTATATTGCATGACATTTTGTTCCTTCTCCCAGCAAAATGCACCGAAGTATTGTTCTTTAGACGTAAACCACAACGACCATTTTTGCGATAAAAACATAACAATTGCATTGTTCCAATGTTGAAGACATGACTCTCCAGTCACATATGATTTAATTTCGTTCGGCCACCGTAATGATCAATTCGAATTGTGGTAGCGATGTGGTCTACCCTCATTCACTGACGCTAGAGCATTGTGAGTCGACGGGGAAGCTACGACAGGTGAGATGAGTTTCGCTGCTACGCATGCGCGACCGGTGCCGGTCTGTGGATTTGCAAGCATCCAACATTGCTGCTTAGCTCAATGATGTCAGCTTTATTTTCATTAAAATGGGTTTCCTCATATGCCCTGTGATCTGGATCTATGGTCCTTTGCCCATTACGGGTGTGTAGATACAGGGGCGCAGCCAGAACTGACGACGGAGATGAGGCTG